TATCTGGGAGATTATTTCTGCTTTGAATTTTTCTAGAGCCTCATTCATCTGTTTTGTTACTTCCTGTGCTATCAGTTCAGGGTGCCCAGGTGGTTGATTATCAGCCTTTTACACCTGGTTTTCCCCAGAAATTGCCTTTTGTGGGGTAGAAGTCTGAGTTTGTGCCTTGCTTAAATGTCTTCTCATTTTTGTTTTTGTTACTGTCAGTTATAACTCAATGAGTCTCAGTAAGCCAGTCACAGACTTGTGAGATTCAGGCAGATTTCTGGCTGCAAGTCTCAAATTGAGTTCCCTGTCCTCCTGCAGGGTTAAAGTCTGCAAGGTTCTATTACAGGTTCCACCTGTCTTTCCTCCGAAAATAGTCCAGGTTCAAATGGGAAGTGATGATCCCTCCAGCTTACCAAGAACAGTGGTCTGGTGTGCCTGTATTAATTCCCTTCATTTTTCCAGTGGGCTTCAGTTTTCATCAGGGAGCCTGAGAGAGGGCCTCTCTCTTTTGTTCACTTCAGCAACTCAGGACAATGGCCTTTATGTCCCCCTGTGCCTCTGTAGTGTGGAACCAGGTAGCTGCATAGCCAAGAGGCGGGGTGCAGGGGTGCGGTTCTCAGGGTCTTCTGGATGCAAGTGGGCAGGGCAAGCCAAACAGAGCAGGGTGTAGCCACCCACATCTGAACGGAAGGTCAAACTCTCTATTAGGTTTTAAGCAGGCAAAATGCACAGTCATATTTATTGAAAACAAAATAGTGTGTGGAGCATTTATTTGAGAACAGGGAGAATGGAAGCAGAGAAATCACCTAGGATGCAGTGAGAGTAGTTGAGGAGAGAGGCAGGGGGCAGGTTTCTGGATCAGGGTGCTATAAAGAGGGAGAGCAGGGGTCAGATTTTCAATTTATTTTGGAAATGAGTCAGTAGGTCTTGCCAATGGATCGATAAGGAGTGAAAGAAAGGAACCAAGGGTAAATCCTAGATTTTTGGTTTGGATGACTGCTGCTAGTTCTCCATGGCAAGCTGGAGGAGCACTGATTTGTATGTGTATGGGGCTAGAGATCGAGTCGTATTTTGGACCTATAAGGCTGGACTTAGTGTACAACATGTACAGTGAAACTTGAAAGATAAATAAGTTCCCAACAGGATGAGAAGGAAGGAATAACTCAAGCTGAGGAAGTACATTGCAGTGGAGTGGAGATTTGTCGTCTGTTGTGGCTAGAAAGGCAAGAGTGGAAATGATATTGTGACCAAGAAAATATAGCACTTCCTTTCTGTGTTTTGATCCTTTCCTCATTAGAACCCTGATGCTTATATTGAATGAACTAAGTAGGAAGAAGAAATTAATCCATCATATCACTTGATATTATTTTCTATACTTACTTTACAAAAAAATATGAACAATAGCAAAAAGTACCCTCATGAGAATTCTCATAAGCAAAATGTCACCAAACAGCAAAACTATGTTTCATTGGTTACAATTACTCTTTTTGACACTCCTCTGCACGGAGGCCACTGTCAGTTCAAGTTTCTTGTGTCATACCTCCTGTGCTAACAGAGATGGCTCATCTTCTCTGTCCTATAGCTCAATAGTCATCTATCCTATTAGATCAAATATTTTGTTTTGTGATGAGTATTTCATAATATCCCTTTTACCATACTGAAATAATATAGTTAACATAATCCACTTACAGAAATCATTGCAAAAATCAGTACACCATTCCAACTGTAATATAAGGACAAAATAAAAGTAACATAATAAAACAACATGCATATAATTATGTAAATGTTGAGCATAATGAGGTATTTAGATGAGGCATGATTTAAAAAAATTCTAAATAGGTCTTAGGAAAGAAAAAATAGTAAAATTATCCCTTGATTTATACAATACCTGCATCCCCAGAAAATTCAGTGTATTTTTAAATCATGCAGATATGCTTTATACTTATATGTATGATAGATTTAAGCTCTCAGCTTAGCTAATCGTATGATTTTTAGCCTGAAGGAATATCTGGCAGGATGTTAGATAGTCGCGCGGGGTGAGGAAAATTGTTTGATACGCAAGAGTGGCTAAATTCTGCAGGACGTTATATTACCTCTAGCTTCTGCCCATGAAATGACCTTACAGATGTCCACAATGTTCCTGGAGTTGGTACCACATGTGCTGGGGAGTGTAGATCTAGCTGCTCTCTGGGCCATTGACATCCCCCACCAAAGACACACTGAACCCCAGTTTAAACCATAACCTTTGTGTGAACAGATCTCTGCCAACGTGGATCCTAGTCTGTCCCTTTGGTAAACATTTGTTGAAAGAAACAATGGGTAGATCGTTGAGTGGAAAGATAGGTTTTCTTCTTAGTTTTGTTCTGTGAAGAAAAATTTTTGTTCTCTTCATGATCTGTAAAGGCTGTTAAAAATTATTCACAATATAGCTGGGTGTGGTGGCACATGCCTGAAATCCCAGCACTCAGGAGGCTGAGGCAGGAGGATCACTGTGAGTTTGAGGCCAGCCTGGACTGTATAGTGAGACCATGTCTCAAAAAAAAAAAATCCACAAGATAAAGTTTAGTAGAGAAGTTATTTTTCTCTTGACTAACAAGTGCTGGGATCAAAGTGTTTTTACCTGAGTAAAAACATTTGTTTTTTTGCTGCCATTTGTCTGTCTAATTATTTTGTTACGCTTGGGGAGTGTAGATACATATACATATGCTGTTTGTCCTTTCTTTCTAGCTTGGGAAGAGTTGGCCTATTATGAAGAAAACACACAAGATTTTCTTTTCCCTGAGCCCAAGCTGACACCTTCATACCCTGGAACACATAGGGAGCTGCTCATGAAGACTACCAGAGGTTTTCCAGTAAGCGATCCTACCCATCTGGCCTCCTGTTACAAGAAAAATTCTTTCTTTAATTCTTTTTCTTTTTTTTATTAGTACATGTCTGTAGTACATGATGATTATGTTTATTGTGGGGAGTTTGTACAGGTACCTAACACATCTTTTTTTTTTAAATGGAAATTTGCACCTTTACATAATCTCTCTTAATTCTTATTTTTTCCTCGATTCCCCTCCCCTCCCTTCAACCCCTCCAGCCCTCCCTATTTACAAAGACTTTGTTTCCATTTTTAAATTTTCTCATATTGATTCCATTTCCTTCTTTCCTTTTCCCTCCCACTTCCCCTTCTCCTTTGTCGCTTTTCTTCCTATTTCACCTAATCTATTATACCTTTTAGTCCTTATTTATGCTTTCAGTTTCTCACACTAGAGAAACTATTCGGTATTTACACATGTATGTCCTATTTATTTCACTTAAGAGTATTGCCTCAATGTGCATCCATTTAGCAATAAATGTCTCTAATTTCTCATTTTTTATGGCTGAGT